TCCTCCTTCTCCTCCTCCTCCGCCTCCTCCTCCTCCTCCTCCTCCTCCTCCTCCTCCTCCTCGTTATCCTCTTCATCCTCCTACTCCTCCTCGTCCTTCTCCTCTTTCCCCTTCCTGCCCTCCTCCTGCCACTTCTCCTCCACCTCCCCGTCCCCTTTTCCATTTCCTTCCCCAGCCCTCTCCACCTCCGCCTCCCTCGAGAGGCCCCAGCGAGCTGCCACGAGAAAGGCGGGGGAGCTGCCTCCACAGAGATCGCCCGATTCCCCGAGGCAGGGAGGAGAGGAAGGAGAGGGAGGGAAGCGGGGCAGGGGCGGGGGGGGAGCGGAGGAGCCCGCACCACTTCGGACAGCGTCACCGTCCTGGCCCCTGAGCCACGCGTGCTCAGTGGACCCGCCCCACAAAGCGGGAACCGCCGCATGATAAACAGAGGTAGAGGGATAACGCCCTCCCCTGGCGCCGGCTACTGGGAGTTCGCTGCTGAAAAGAAAGACGACCGGCGGAGATCAAACCCAACTGGGGTCCGTCTGCGCCCGCCACCGTGCGGAGTGAGGCGCCGGCGTTAAGCGTGGGTTGGCGTGAACGCCTCGGCGCCCTGCGTAAGGAGGCGCCGCCTTGGGGCGTCCACCGCAGCGGCCCAGAAGAGGCAGACAACGGAGCAGGTGCCAACTGTTCACGCGGCCCGCGAGCAGAGGCAGACGGCACCACCCCACGTGGCTGGTGCAAGGGCCTCCCCTCCAGACCCATGGGCAGCAGGGCCCAGCACCAGCGTCCGTGCAAGCACGGGTGCCCCCGGCTCCGCCCGACCCCCACCCACCGGCGCCAAGAGGCCCCGCCAGCCAAGGGGCCAGGCAGGAACGGGAGAGGTGCAGGGGGCCCTGCCACCCTGCGGCGAAGGAGGGGGTTTACATGGGGGCCGACTGCGGAAAAAAAAGTGAGAAGAACAAAAAGTCAATACAGGGAAAGCCGGTCCCCTGCACCAGCCTGGGGCCCTCACGTGGCGAAGCATGCCTCAGACTGTGCACACCTGCCCGGGTGCTTGCGTGGCGGCGCGCACCCGAGGGGCAGATGGGGCAGCAGCGGCGGCAAGGGGCAGCGTTTACCTGGGGATGGAGCCACCAAGGGACGTGGGCGCAAATCAGTGCTCGGACAGCGCCAGAGTGTAGGGACGAGCGGTGTCGTCGTCGTTGGGGTACGTCGGCCCCCCAGCGCTGGAGGGGTGTCCAGCCAGGTCAGGCGTCGGTCGTAGGCGTCTTCTGCCTCCGTAGTGAGGCGGTGGAGAATGATACCAGAGAAAAAATCAATCATCATCTCTTTAAGGATATAGGGCTATGGGGCTAAAGGGCTATAGGGCTATAGGGTTATAAGGGTATAAAGCTATGGAGCTATTAGGGCTATAGGGTTGTAAAGCTATTGGGGCTATAGGGCTATATGGCTAGAGGGCTATAGGGCTATAAGGCTCTAGGGTTATAAGATTATAAGGCTACCGGGCGGGCACCCGGGCACCCCTGGGCAAGCCCAGGCACCCGGGCACCCGGGCACCCGGGCACCCCCGGGCACCCGGGCACCCGGGCGTGCAGCGAAAATCGGCGGCAAACCTAACCTGACCATATGAATCCGCTTGGACCCCTACAGAGGCAAGCTCTGATTGGGGAAAGATGCGCCCGACCCTCGCGCTGGCAGCGCCGTGGACGGCGCCGAGAGTGTCGTCAAGGCAAGCAGTGAAAGCATTCAAGCCGTATGCCACAATCAGTCGAGTGGTCCCGGTCAGGGCACGTGGCATCGCAGTGCCCGTGCACGGAGCCGGAAGTACTGGCTTGTAGTCGACGCATCGGGCCTGATGGGGACCTTCGTCCGCCGTCCCCAGGGTCTGGGAGCGGGTCGGCGTTCAGCGGTCAGAGCAGGGTGGACCAAGTAGACACCGATTGCCCAAAGTGCCCAGAGCGTGATGGCGCGACGGCCTGGTGAGAGCGGCGGCCGCCCTGGGCCGCGAGGAACAGTAGGGGTATACTTGTCTGGCGTACTGTGGTGTTGCTTTCATCGGCGGGAGGGCCTGGTGGCCTCCGTCTTCATGGGGATCCGCTTCTGATTGGTCACCATCACCTGCTTACCTTGGAGGCGTGGTGGTATGGGCGTCGGAGGTCGAGCAGTCAACGGCCGGTCGTTGGCGGTCACTCCGGCGGTCGGCGGACGGTCGTCGGCGGCCGTCAGAAGGAAGGTCGGCGGACGGTCGTCGGCGGTCGTCGAACAGTGGACAGACGGTCGTCGGCAGTTGTCGACGCGTGGAGCAGCAGGAGTGTTGGCCTGGTGGCCACTCTGCGGAGGTCGGTCGTCAGACATGGGCCGTCGGAGTGACGGTCGGAGGTCGTCACGGCAGTGTGCGGACGGTCGTCGGCGGTCGTCGGACGAACGTGGGCGCCTGCTCGAGGACAGGATGGAGCGCTGGCCTGGCAGCCCGGAGCGCCAGTGAGGTCAATCGGACGCTCGGCGGAGGGGCCACGGCGGAGGGACTGGGTCGTGGGTTCTCGTTGAGTCTTGGCGTCGTGGGTCTGTGGTCGGGCCCCGGTTTGTCGGATGCCGTCGATCGTCGCCGTCGAGGGTCGAGGAATCGACTGTCGGTCGTCGGCGGTCGTAACGGCGGTCGGCGGGCGGTCGTCGGACCGACGGTCGGGGGTCTGTCGCCAGCAGTCGCCGGGCAGTCGACAGACGGTCGTCGACACTAGGATGAGGTCGGGCAAGTCCCCCGACCAGGCCGAACTTCGACGAAAAATAAAACATACAAAACAAATACTCGAAAATGGCCAAAAGATACCGGAAAACTCGTCCCCTGACTATTTCTGGACTATTTTTGTATATTCCTCCTGTAGGGGGACATGCCCGACTCAACACTAGGACTGGCCGGAGTGCGGGCCCTGTGGCTGGCACTGCGGCGGGGCGCCAGTGAGTCGGTTGTCGGGCTCTAGTCTGTCGGCCGACGGCGGGGCGTCGAAGAGCTTCTCCCTGCTAGGCTTAGGTGCTTAGGTCGGGCATGTCCCCCTGCAGGCGGATTTGGGACGAAGGCGTAAAAATACTCAAAACCTATGCAAAAAATGCGCAACAATCGTCAAACAATGGCCCCCAGACTATTTCCTGACTATTCTTGAATGTCCCCCCTGTAGAAGGACAGGCCCGACTCAGTGCTGGGGGGGGGGGGGCAGCTGTCAAGCTGGGCGTGCGCAGGTATGCGGTGGGACCGTTGGTCGACTGGACAGCCCAGTCCTGGTTTTGGTTCCCCATTCGGCCGGCAACGGTGCCATGGTGGTCATTGCGGATGGTTCCAAAGGGGGTTTTTGGGGAGGGGGTTTTCCAGGAGGGGTCCCCCAGGGGCTTCGCACCCCCCCATTTTGACGAGGTTCCAAGGCCCCTGGGGGGCTCTCTGGAAAACCCCTCCCCCCAAACCCCCTTTGGAACCCTCCGGGTCATTCATTGGTGGGGTTGCGCTCCTGGCTGCCCACCGTTGCAAGAGTGCCTTCGCAAGGGCGTGGCGGCAGGGGTGCCGCCGTCTGAGGTCGAGCGGTCGACAGTCAGTCGTCAGCGGTCGTTCCAGCGCTCGGAGCACGGGTCGTCAGCGGTCGTCGAACGGACATGGGTGACAACACAAGGACTGGTTGGAATGACGGCCTGGTGGTGCCACTGCGGAGCGCCGCGGAGGGTCGACGGACACTCCGCGGAAGGGTCGATCTGGCCTTCGTGGCTGGTGTTCCTGGGAGTCGGCGGACGCTCGCACGGAGGGTCGCTGCGAACTGTCTCGTGCAGTGTTGTTGAATTTGGCCTCGTGGGCCGGTCATCGGACACTGGTCTGTTGGAATGACGGACGTCGATCGTCGATGTCAGGGGTCGAGGAATCGACCGTCGGTCGTCGGCGGTCGTAGCGGCGGTCAGGGGGACGGTCGTCGGCGGTCGTCGGACGGACGGTCGGCGGTCTTCGAGCAGTCGACAGACGGTGAGAAGATAATGAGAATGACCGAAGCGCGGAAATGAAGGCGGCGCTGCAGCGGGAGCACCAGTTTGGAAGAACCAGAAACGACCGCATTGAAGAAACACATAGGACAAACCCAAACAATGACATCCTGTGTGTAGAAAACAATACGCGGAGAGGACGGGACACTCTCCGGACAGAGTCAGGGGAGAGGAGAGTAGTACTCATATTGTGTAGTTGTGGAGAGGAGGGGGCGAGGGGAGGGAGGGAGGCCGGAGGGAAGGGAGGGAGGGGAGGGGCGGTGGCGAGGATGGAGATTGCGCAGGGCCCTCAGGCCCCTTCACCCCCCGCGACCGCCCGATGTGCCTGGGGCGCGCCAGGGCAGCTCGCTCTCGGGCTGCGCGGGGGGCCCCGCGAGGACCTGGCGCAGCGGCGAACGAGGAGGGGGGGGGCAGGGTCGTACGAAAGGGGGGATCGCATAACAGGGAGGTTTAGCTAGTCAGCTGCGTGCTTCTCGGGCCAGTGCAAAAAGGAGGAGAGCGCCAGGCGGCGGGACTGGAACCCGCTGCAGGGCGCCTAAGCCAACGACCCTTCTCAGCCGCAACCTTGTGAGACGCGGTCAGCATGCTCAGGATCTGATCGCAGTACTCGAACCGCGCCGTGCGCCCCGTGGGCATGACAAGGACGCGGTCCAGGCCCTGCCGCCGCCCTCCGCCTCCCGCTGACGCGATGCGCGAGGAAGCTGCAATGGTAAAGCTTCGGGCTGCGCACGGACAACCCCCCCCCAGGCAGTCCTAGCTGGCCTCAACAGGCCCCCCCGCATATTCTGGGGCGGTATCACAACGGGCCCAACCCGCTACTCAACATAAGAAGAGAGCAACTTCGATTCGCCCTTGCCGCCTCTCTTCCCTGACCAAACCTGTATTGGGCGGGGATAATCAACTCTCAGTTGTTCAAGGGGGGGGCCAATGATTATCGGGGGGTGGGGGTTAGTCTGAGGCGGTATCACAACGGGCCCAACCCTGGGGCGCGGAGCGCCCCGCCGCCGGAGGGGGCGCTGGAGTGTTGAGACCGCCTCGGGCTGCTCGGGGGACCTATTGAGGCCAGCCGTCTCTGCGCAACCCGAACCCTTACCAAGCTGGAGCCACACACACATGGAGGAGGAGGAGGAGGAGGAGGAGGAGGAGGAGGAGGAGGAGGAGGAGGAGAAGGAGGAGGAGGAGGAGGAGGAGGAGGACCATTGTAAACCCAATACGCATCAACGATTTTGCAATACACCCTCCCTTCAAATTCCATCTTCGTGGGTCCCTACAAAAACGCATGTCGTTACGGCAAATGTCTCTAATCCCCAACAGCGCCCCAGAACAATTCCTGGACGTCCACGCCACGAATCAGCACTACCCTGAAAATGCTAAGCCGTGCCAGAACACCATTCCTGGGACCTCAAAGCCGCGAGCCAGCAAGACACTTGCGTCCAGTAATTCTAAATCGCGACACAACACGATTGGCGGGACTCCAGCCCTTCGAATTCTTGAGACGGCTGCAACATTTCAAACGAATGCGCGCGGCACTCATGCGAGAGCCACATTTTGAAAAACCACCCGCCCTCCATCCTTAAAACTGCTGCATAATTGCACGGCAAATGTGCGCGGCGCTACCAGGGGGAGAGCCACATTTTGAACACCACCCACCCTCAATCCCCCATCTTTGAAAATGCTGCAAACGTTTCAAAAGAATGTGCGCGGCGCTGAAGCTAGAGCCATATGTTGCAAGCCACCCGTCCTCCATCCTTGAAGCTCTTGCGAGCTTTCAAGACGAATGAGCGCGGCGCTGGAGCAAGAGCCGCATTTTGAAAACCATGCGACCTCCATCCAGTTGAGCGCGGCGCTGGGGCGAGAGCCACATTTTGAAAACCACGCGCCTTCCATCCTTGAAACTGCTGCGAAAGTCAAGCCTCAGGATCGTAGATGGTGGGGAAATCTCAGACGAAATTGCCCGGCCCGCCCCTGTCACGTCTGGGGGTGTGACAGGGAGAACCCCCACCACCCCTCTGGGCAACAGGTGGTCTAAGGATGTCTTCTTTTCTCTTCCACAACCCCTCTTCCCCTCGGGGAAGGGAACCCTCCCCCTCCCCTTCCTGAGGTTTTTTTTTGGAGGTTTCGCGAAGTATCGGAGGCTCCCTTTTCGGCCAGTGGGAGGGCAAATTTCTGACACCCCTCACGAGGATCGTGGCCCCCCAGGCGGGGACGTACATCGAGGACCACCCTTCTTTTGACCGACCGCCTCCAAGATGGCCCTAAGAGGCCCTCCAGGGCTCCCAAAAGGCCCCCATGAGGGTCGCACGAGCGCCCCAAGAGGCCCCAAGAGGGTTCCAAGAGGCCCCCGAGAGGCCCTCGAGCGGTCTCGGAGAGCCAAACATGACCTCCAAGATGGCTCAAGATAGCCGAAGCTGGCTCGAGATGGCCCCAACACGCCGTCCAGGCCGGCCTCCCTCGCTGTTTGACAATGCGTGTCTCTCCCCCCGTCAGCTCTCATGGGCATCGTTTCTGGATGGGCTGGTTCGCAGGCGCGCGAAGCGGGTCGGACGCCGGGCAGGCAGGGGCACGCTGTGCCACCTGCGAAGGGAAAAACAGAGCAACGAGGCTGGTGGGAATATTTTTTTGGGGTCGGCGACTCCAGGACCAATGTCAAGAAGCGGGGCAACTCTGGTGGGAATACTTTTTTTTTGATCTGCGGCTCCAAAGACGATTCCAGAGAGCGGGTCGTAGCAAGCTTGGGGCGACAAGCGACATAATTGCCAGCGGGACAAAAGCCAACGCCGGAATGCACATTCGAGGAACAGATGAACCTCATTAAGCCGAGCAAAAAAGCAAGACGGCAAGCAGATAATTGCCAGCGGGCCAAGAGCCGACGCCGGAGTGCAAATGCGAGGGACAAAATGAGCCTCATTACGCCGAACGAACACGGCACCCAGTGAAAGCGGGGCGACGCACAGTGGCGCCAACACCCGTCAGACCGGGAAGAGAACACGCAAAGCGGACAACTGCCAACCAGGAACCCTCACTCACGGAGCAACTGAAAGCTCAATGCTGGCTGCTCGCAACCAGTGTCTGGTGGGAACACGCGAAGCGTCAATAATTACTCCCAAGGAAAACGGATGGAGATTAGGAAGCTCGAGGTCTTAGAACGCCGTTTGCGCTTTTCAGGCCGCCAAGGGTACTTCAGACGTCCTGTTGGGATCTCCAGTGAGGCCGCAAGAGACCTCGGGGGACCGCCACGCGGACCTCCAGGGACTGCTGGAGTTAGGTCGGGCAGGTCCTCCTGCAGGCGGATGTTGGAGGAAACATTTCAAGTAGACAAAACATACCCCAAATTGACAAGACATCATCAAACAATAATCCCCGGGCTATCTTTTGATAATCTTTAAATACTCCTCGTCTAGAGGGACAGGCCCCTCGACTTAATGCTGGAGGGAGGCCAGGCTCGCGCGCGCAGCCTGCGAGGAGGCCACGCGCGAGATGCACACGCGGAGGGCCGGCGTGCAGAGCCACACGAGGGGCGGGGCTCCAGGATGACCTGCGGCAAAGGGTCTGGACTTCCGGGGACGCCGCCCTGAAAAAATCGGGACGTCGCATGTCTGGGGCCAGGGTGCACGTCGTTCATTTCTAATTGTGCTCGTTTCGAATTGTTCCTGGCCACCTAATGGCCAGGAAGAGGCCCAGGATAGAACAATTAGAAATGAAAGGATCGTGCCCCCCCAAAAAATCAAAGAACTTTCGAAGAATTGGAAATGAACAATGTGTATTGAGACCCCCCTGGGCCGCTTTGGGGGGGGCACGCTGAGGCAACCTGGAGGGGGGGGGGCTGTCCGGTCGCGCAGCCCGAAGCCTTACCAGAGATTATCTTCCTCTCTCCCTCCCCCTCCTCCTCCTCCTCCCCCTCCTCCTCCTCCTCCTCCTCCTCCTCCTCCTCCACCTCCTCCCCCTCCTCCTCCTCCGCCTCCGCCCTCCGCCTCCTCCTTCTCCTCCTCCTCCTCCTCCTCTCCTCCTCCTCCTCCTCCTCCTCCTCCTCCTCCTCCTCCTCCTCCTCCTCCTCCTCCTCCTCCTCCTCCTCCTCCTCCTCCTCCTCCTCCTCTCTGGATTACCCAAAAGGGGTCCAGCTGCAGGGGGGGGGTGCAATAGATTTAGGGCAATTGTACTGCAAATGTACTGCGCCGGAGAATTGAATCACATTGCATTGCAGCTAAATGTATTGCACGCGAAAACCCAGCAATACATTTGCGCCCTGGAATGTATTGCACGCTCCAAATGCTTTGCAACTCCACAAATCTATTGCACCAAATCTATTGTACCATCCACTTATCGCTGGACCCCCTTTTGGGTCAACCTGATCCTCCTATCCAAGGGCACCGACCCCGATCGGAGCTGGCAGGCACGGCGCCTGGGATCCCGCATCCCAGGCCGGCCCTCCCCCCGCGCTCCTGCACCGAGTCGATCATGCCGACGAGGCTCCTGTCCACGGCGCCCGTCCTGGCGGAGCAAGAAGACTTGCGGCGACAAAAAGGATTGGGGTAACATCGGGTGCGGGACATTGGGGGAACCTCTGAGAGCCACTGGGTCTCGGGCGCCGCGGCCGGTCCAGAGCTCCAGAACGCTTTGAATACGCTCTGGACACCCTGGAACCACCTACACCCTCAGACTTTTTCTTCCAGCGCATATCGTGGAGACAGGGGAAGGAGAGGCTAAGGGGGAAGCCACGACGAACACCCTGCTGATCGACTCGTCATTTTCTGACTAAACCCGCCCGAGACGAGGCCTGGGCAGATGGGATGGAGAGATCGCGCCACGCCGTCAGCAGGAGGAGGAGGAGGAGGAGGAGGAGGAGGAGGAGGAGGAGCAGGAGGGGGAGGGGGAGGGGGAGGGGGAGGGAGAGGAGGAGGAGGAGGAGGAGGAGGAGGAGGAGCAGGAGGAGAGGAGGAGGAGGAGGAGGAGGAGGAGGAGGAGGAGGAGGAGGAGGAGATGCGTCGGAGGTGCGGCGCGATCTCAAGCCCGGTGCTCTCCCTCCACGGCATCGCCGACGCCTCGGCGACGTGATGCGACTCTCTGGCCCCAATTGCTCCGACCCCATGTGGGCGGCCTGGACAGACACCAGCGTCGCTCGCAAGACCTCTCGGGAGGAGGCGGAGGAGGAGGGGAGGAGGAGGAGGAGGAGGAGGAGGAGGAGGAGGAGGAGGCGGCGGAGGAGAAGGAGAAGGAGAAGGAGGAGGCGGAGGAGGAGGAGGATGAGGGGACGCGCTCTGTAATGCATCTCGGGGCAAAGCCAGCCGCGGTGACGAGGGCCCCCCGGGAGAGCCCCAGGAGGGCGAAGACGCGGCGGGAGGGGGGAGGGCAGGTGTGCCTTCGGCATCGGGAGGTCTTTCTCCCCCCCTTGACGTCCACGAGCTCCACTCGCTCGTCCCTGGCGCGGGCGGGTCGAAGCGCAGGTCGTCCATCTCGTACCGGAACACGCCTGCAGCGCCTCAGGGGCTCCGCGGACTCCGCGGGGGCCCCGCGCCCCGCGCGCCAGGAGAAGGTGCGCGGCGACAGCCCCAGATGGGAACGGACCAAATCTGAAGTTTCCAAACGCGTTTCTGGACCTTTCTGGGCAGAGCCTCTTGGAGGCTTCCGCGCTGCCGCGGCTGGCTTTCCGTCGAAGTTCTGCCGGACGTTTTTCGGGCCCCTGGTGGCTTCCATCAGCTGCGCCTCGCCGCTGGCGTTCCCGGGGGGTGCCAGAATCGTCCCGAGCGGCTGCCTCGAGGCCTGAGCTGCGGCCCAGAAGCGGGCTGGAGGTGCCCCAGGTGACCCCAGCTTGTCGAGGGAGGGCCTCCTGGCCGCCCCCTCGGCGAAAGCGTAACTTTCTCGGAATACCTCGTCACCATACAAACGCATGCAGTGCCACCTGCTGGCCCGGACGGCCTCCCGAGCAGCCCCTCGCGAGGCCCAGAGGGGCCCGAGGCCCTCAAGAGGTGCGAGGAGCTGGGCGCGCCCTGGGCTGGGACCCCCACCGGCAGAGCCGCCAGCGGGGCGCGCGCAAAGGAAACAAGACAAAGCCACCAAGAAGACTAGAAGACGAAGGAGTCGCTCACAGAGCGCGCGTGGCACTTGGGCGCAGCAGCTGTGCGTGCCCCAGAGGTGATCGTGGATCCGCCCCTGGCTTGGCGGGGCAGGCGGGCGATGCGTATCAACGTCGGCCGATCAGCCTGGGCGAGTGGTGCCGTCGCCCAAAATGCCCAGTGGAAGTGCGGCGCTGATGGCCCTGTCAAGCGGCCCGTGCGGGAAGGAGGGGGGACGAACAAACGAAGGACCGCTGAACACGAGCCGAGCAAGTGCGCGGCCGCGTGCCCTACGAGATCAAGGGGAGTTGGCAGGCACAGCTGCTCAGAGGGCGTCCGCGGGCCTTGCGCCCAGCATGGGCTGGGAGAGCAGGGAACGTTGAGGGCGACAGGGCAGGAGCGGAGGAGAAAGAGGAAGAGGAGAAGGGAATCATGGCGGGGAGGCGGAGGAAGCGAGAGTTGGCAGAAGGGCGAGGAGGAAGGAAACCGACCAGGGAGGGAAGGGAAGGGTAGCCAAGGGGGACCAGGGAGAGGAGTGGAGATGCCAAGGGAGTGGAGATGCCAAGGAAGGAAACAGAGGAGCGGGAGGGGAAGGGAGAGACGCGGAGGAGGGGAAGGTGGAAGTCGAGTGAGAAGGGGAAGGCGTGGACACCTTTGCAAACCGCCGAAAGACTGATAAGCCCCCATAGATCGTCAGAAGCCGCTGCGTTCCCCGCTTCCCCCTCCTTACCTGAATAACCTGGCGCATCCCTCGCCTAACCCGACCTCGCGCCTAGCGCACGCGGGTACGGCGCCAAGAATGACCCAGCTCGCTCAAAGTTGGCCTGACCAGCGGCTCGGCGGCGCGCGCGTGTCACGCGCGCGCATTGCAGAAGGGGGGCCTGGACGAAGGCAGACGTATGCAGGACACACAGACACACAGACACACAGACATACAGACGCACACACACACACACACACACACACAACACACACAGACACACAGACACACAGACACACACACACACAACACACACAACACACACACACAACACACACACAACACACACAAAACACACACACAGACACACACACACAAACACACACACACACACTCACACAAACCCACACACACACACGCACACGCATATGTCTCTCACGACTGCTGGGCGACAGCACCGCAGCGAATACTAGGGCGAGCCACGCCTAATTTAAGTACTATCTGGCGTTGCAGAAAGGGTCAAAAAGGGGGTCCGGACGAAAGCAGACGCATGCAGGAAAAACGGAGACCGCGAGTGCACGTAGATGACGTACGAGACCCCATATCGCAGCCCAGACACACACGAACACACACACACACACACTCTCACACACAAACACACACACAACACACACACACTTGTTCCGTCGCAGCGCGGCAGAGGCAATCCGCACGCGCGCTCTAATAGGCCGCGGCAAACACCCAAACTTACACAACCACACACACACACTGTCACACACTTTGGGGCGTTAGCGGCCAGAAGCAACTCCATGGCGTTCACAAGTTCACGGCCGCGCACTCAGCGGCAAGGAAGGCAAGGTGCACGTACGATGGACTGAAGGCCAAGGCCGGTCAGAATTAGGACGACCAGGGGCCAGCAAGACAAGGGCAAGGGAGGACAAGTAAAGAGAGGGAGAAGCGAGGAGCGAGGAGCGACAGCGACAGCTGAGGGGACACGGGCCGACCGACGGAAGAGGGGGAGAGGCAGGCACACACCACAAGGGCAAGGCAAGACACGAGGAGTGGGAGGATCCAGATGAGGAGGGAGAGATGGGGGAGGGAAGGAGGCACAGCAGAAACACAGGGGGGATAAAGGAAGGGGTGAGCCCGACTCAGCGGGTCCAGGCCGATCCGCGCGTCAAGTCTTCATGGCGTGCCGCTTCACTTCTTCACGCCACTTTAGGATTCCATGACGTCCAAGGAATTCCAGTCTCTCCTGATGGAGGGTCTCCCGAAGAGTAGCTGACGAGGTGGCGCTCCAGTCCCCCCCCAGGTCTGGTATGGGGCGGGCTAGGGGGCGGAAGGTGCCGTGCGGAGGGCTGTGGGGGGAATTGGGCCGGGGGAGCCTCGACGACGCGCGGGGGTGGCCCAGAGGTGACGCCAATGCGAGTGGCAGAAGTGGGGACCGCGCGCTCGGGGCGGGGGCGCCGGCCCGGGGAGGGAGCGGCGTCGGAAACGTCGTCGGGGGCGGCGTCGGAGGCAGCGTCGAGGTGCGAGCGCCAGCTCAAGGAGGGGAAAGCGTCGGAGCCGTCGTCGGGAGTGATCGCGCAGGAGATGTCGGGATGGGGGGCGTCGGCCCAGGGAGGCAAGGGCGTCGGAAACGTAGTCGGGGGCGGCTTCGGAGAGGCAGCATGAGGGGTCGGACATCGGATGCCGCATCGGCAGGGGTAGGCGACGGACACGGCGTCGGACACGGTGTCGGGAGTGGAGGCTGGTATACGGCTGATAATGCGCCAGGGAGGCCGCTCTCGCTGATTCTAAAACTGTAGCTGATCACATAGGGTTCCAACTTCCCCGTTCGCACGTCGCCGAGCAGCGGCGCGGCGCGCTGCCACTGCTCATCACCATTGCAACTGATACCAAGATTGTAGCTGACCGCGTGGGGCCGAACCGCTCCGCAAAGCCTCCGTACGGCAAGGTGCCACTGGTCCCCAAGTTCCCACTCGCTGATCGCTGCGCTGTAGCTGATCGCGCTTTGCTCCAGCAGATTTGCGTCCGACAGCTCGCTGTTGATTTTCGGGCTTGCTGATCCCGGCACTGGAGCTGATCTCGTGTCGGGTGGGCGTCGAGTAAAGCGCCAGGGCAAGAAATGTACGGCGGAGAGTCGGGAGGGGCGTGGGGGGAATTCGTTATGCTTCCAGGCGTCATCCAAGGCGTCGGGCTGAGCGTCGGGCAAGGCGTCGGGCTGGGCGCCGCCGTCGGGCAGGTTGTCGGATCGGGCGTCGGCGTGGGCGTCGGGCGAGGCGTCGAAGGACGAGGTGTAGGGTTGAGCATCGGGTGGAGCGTCGGGATGGGCACAGGGCTGGGCGTCAGGAGACGCGTGGGGCGTGGCGTGCGGCTGGGCGTCGGGCTGGGCGTAGGGCGAGGCGTAGGGCGAGGCGTCGCCGACGAGCACGGCGTGGGCTGGGCGTCGGGATGGGCGTCGGGTGGGGCATCAGGAAGGGCGCCCGGGAGGGCGGCGGGAGGCCTGGGCGCCGGGGAGTCGCAGGGCTGCGTGTAGGGCGGGGCGTCGAGCTGGACGCAGGGATGGACGTAGCCACAGCGTCGGACCTGGCGTCGGTGCTAGCGTCGGAGGCAGCGTCGAGCACAACGTCGGGGTCGACGTCGAGAACGGCGACGGGCAGGGAGTAAGGCAGGGCGTCGGGTGGACTGTCGGGATGGTCGACCGTGGCGTCGGAAGCGTCGATAGAAACGGCGTCGGGAACTGCGTCAGGTCGGGAGTCAAGTGGGCCAAGTGGGATGCGCATGGCGCCGGGCTGGGCGTGGGGCGGAGTGGGGCTCGTGGGGCTGGGCGGCGGGCGAGACATCGGGTTGTGCGTTGGGCTGGGCGTCGGGCAGGGGCGTCGTTGGGCAGGGTGTCGGGTCGAGTGTCGGACTGTGCGTTGGGTGAGGCGTCGGAGAATGAAGGGTAGGAGGAGCGTCGCGGGGAGCGCGAGGCCGGGCCCGAGGAGGGGTGTCTGGGGACGCGCGGGGCTGGGCGCGCCGCTGGGCGCGCCGCTGGGCGTCGGGCTGGGCGTAGGTGTGGTCGTCAAGAGAGGCGTCGGGGCGGTGCCGGCCGTGGGGTCGGAGGCAGCGCTGGGGGCAGCGCCAGGCACAGCGTCGGGGTCGACGTCGAACACGGCGTCGGGTGGGGAGTCAGGCGGGGCGTCGGGCGTGCCGTCGGGAGGGTCGTCGGGATCGCACGCTCTGATCCCAGCAACGTAGCTGATCACGGCGGGCTCCAACTTACTGGCCTCGATGATCCCGCCACTATAGCTGATCGCGTTGGGCACGGGTGCTGCAACCAGCACAGCGCACTCGCTGATCCCAGAACTGTAGCTGATGGCATTGAGCTCCACCTTCCCCATCCGCATCTCGCTGAGCAGCGGCACGGCCCGCTGCCACTGCTCGCAGCCACCACGCTCTCTGACATCAGCATTGTAGCTTCTTTGTTTCCCCCTTCACACAACGCAGAGACGACACAGCGGTTCAAAAGCATAGAGGATCACCACAGCAAGGCTGCGCCGCCACGTGCGATTGAGGAGCGTCTGGAATGCTAGCGCGGGAAACTACGCAAAGACGAAGAAGCAGGAGGACGAGGGAGAGAAGAGAACAGGGCGGGAGCAAATAGAGGAGGGCAACGTCGCCACCACCATACTGCCGACCCACTGTCGGACGCTTGAACCCTGGCCCCAGCCAGAAAAAACA